GGGGGGGGGGGGGGGGGGGGGGGGGGTTGGAGGCAGCGAAAGGCTTTCCCCGGAATGGAATGTTCCGGCTTTGGAAACAGGAAGCTCTCTCTCGCATTGTTTCTGCAGCGACAGGATGGAGACGCACGCCTGGTGGGGACCGGGGGGGGGAGCGCGGATGATGGCGGGGAGGCTGCCTCTGGTGCCCTGAGCCCATCACTGTCCTGGGGGGTCAGGGGGTGTATAAGGAAATACTCAAAATCAAACAAGATTCTGGATATTTGTAAGACAAGCCCCCCCAAATAAGCTGAGGTACATGACAGCGTATACACACACACATACACAGAGTCACAGACACACACAGATTTGTAGACATATATTTGTGGGGACTCTCCATTCATTTCTATGGGGAAACTCTAATCCCAACATGAAGACCTTAACCCAGGGGTCTCCAACTCCGGTCCTGGAGAGCTACTGTCCAGTAGGTTTTCTGTCCCACTTGGCTTCTGATGAGCCTGGTATTTACCTGAGAACAGATGTGGTTCATCAGAAGCTGGGTGGGATAGAAAACCTACTGGACGGTAGCTCTCCTCCTGCCTTAACCTCTATCCAGCCATTCACAGATCTTTGTAGGGACCTGAAAAATGGTCCCACAATGTCAACATAACAGGCTTTTATTACATAGTGGGGAACATTTGGTCCCCACAATGTAATATAAACATAATCCACGCGCACACACACACACACAGTGTGTACCTGGGAGGGGGACCTGGGTCCCTCCTGATTGGTCAGGCTCATCTGGCTTGTCACGCTCTTTTCCATGGAGTCCACCTTCTCATAGGTGCGTTTCTGCCGGCCAGTGCCCTCTGAGGCCAGCGGGGAGACGGGGGCGTCGCCGTGGCTGCCGGAGCGGTACAGAGAGCAATTGCTGGAGCCCACGTGCTCGCGGGCGGCGTGCTTCCTAAGGCCGCCGCCGTGGGGGGCGGAGCTCTCGCACATCTCCGTGTCCAGGCTGCCCTTGCTGCCTCTCAGGGTGCTTGAGCGGCTCACCGCTGCCTTCACCTCGGCCATGAGCTTCTCGCTGAGCACGCCCAGCTCGCCGCTGCTGCCCGCCGAGCCGGGCCGGCCCTGCGCCGCCAGCTGCCGCTGCCAGGTCTTGCGCCGCAAGCTGGGCGAGGGTCCCGTGGAGTAGCCCGAGTCCTGGTGGCCGGCCCCGCTGGGGCTGCCGTACTCCTGCGAGGCGGCGCTGTTCTGCCGGCTGTGCCGCGCCTCCATGCTCTTCAGCACGCCCGCCTCTAGGAGGCGCCACGAGTGCTTCTTGTCAGCCTCCTTCTTGGGCGGGGTGAGCTCGGACAGGGCGGGCTGCCGGCTGGCCCCGGGGTCCACATTCACCATGTGCTTGATGCACTCCTTGCCAGCGGCGCTGTACTCGGTGGCAGAGGGACTCCTCTTGTGCTTGGAGCCCTGGTGGGAGGTGGGATGCGGCAGAAGCCGCTGCTTCTGGAGGCTCTGTGAGGGGGTGTACTGCGGCGGCAGGGAGCGGGTGAGTGAGTGCGCGCCTTCCACTTCCATCTCCACCGGAGGCTCGTCGTAGATGGGAGATTCCAGGGGCGGCTCGTCGTAGATGGGTGGGGTAGCCCCGTATTTGGGTGACGACGGCCGGGGGGTCCCCGCCTGTGACCGCTGCGGGGTCTGGTATGTTGGGGAGGAGGAGGAGGTGGCCCTGAAGCTCCCGTTGTCCCCCTTCCTGAGGTTCACCGCCTGCCTGGGCTCCGCCATCCTGCCGGAAGAGCTCGCCTGGACCCGGATTGCCTGCCCCCCCGCAGCCAGGCTCACGGCACCCCCGCTGTGGTGCGGCGGGGCACTAGCGTGACTGGCCGCCTGGTTCCTGCCGATGCTGTTCACCTTCACCAGCAGAGCCGCCTTGGAACCAGGAGCTGGCTGCCATCTTTGGCCAGAGTCCCTGTAACAAAATCAGACACAGGATGCAGTTTGCTGAGAGTCAACCAGTGTCTGGACTTAAAACGTTCACTGACTTACACCCCCTTTTTTGGCTAACCCCCTGCCCCCCTCCCTCAGGGGAACCTTGATGTTTGAGCTCCGCATTGCAGCAATCAGGAGACAGGAGGGGTCAGGAGGCGTCCTGGTTACAAACCAAAAACAAGGTCGCTACATGTTCACCAAAGCAGGTCGTGGAAATGGGGGGGCTGTGGACACCCTTCCACAGCACTAGCCCCACCCTCCCCCATGTACGCAAACATCACGCAGTCATGCTTGCGCGTTCACTCATAGCACAAACACAACAGGAAACGCGGAGCGGCTCGCTCAGCTGAAGGTCAGAGCCCAGGGCTGTGAAAACAGGAATTCACACGGGTTCATGCTGAAGTGTCTCTCTGTCTCACAGATACGCGACTACCCCTGCTGTCAGGACATCCGATCAAAAGTCAGACAAACTCCAGGGGCCTTCAAACTGATTTATACAGCAAAAAAAAAAAACAACAGAAAACTACAAAAAGTCTGGATCAAACTGCCGAGTGGCTAATTCTGGAACCCGAGACAATCTCCCAGTTCAGAGTAAAAATACCCAGAAGTCTCTGAGTCACTGCTCCTGTTAACCCGCCGTGCTCCATGCCACGCTCTTTACAGCATGAAAACGGGAAATAACATTCAGGAACCCAAAAAATGAACATGCTAACGTACCAGAAATACCAACGTGTACTTCGAGGGTCCGCACCAGTCTAATGAGTGACAGCAACCGCTGCAGAAGCACAGATGAACCCTTCAGAAAAGAGTGCAGCGTCCTACTTACTCTGTGAATGTGGAACAGCCTCTTTAAGGCACAATTTCTGTCCTCCATGCTTAAATTTCCTCACTTTCCGTTCAGGGTCCGCGAGCGGCACAGATCACGGCGGGAGAGCATTTCGAGTTCGGGAAAAGACCGAAGCAGACACTTACCCCACGACCCTCGCACTGAGGGTCCCTGAAGCGTTTCCGAGCAGACCCGGGTGCGTCCCGCTGTGACAGTGAGAGTAATCGCTCGGGGGTGGGGGGAGTGCTTCCTTAGCAGAGTCTTTTGGCAAATGCCCCAAATGCAGCCTGGCTGCGCTGTACCTCTGCCGAGCCACCGGGGCGGCGGGCTGGAGCTGTGAGCACAGGCAGCCAGCAGTGGCGATGTTTGAATGTGGAGGGGGGACAGCGACTCCTTCACTTTCTCAGTTACAGTAGCAGGAATGCAAACCCTCCTCCCAGCCCCTTTCTGGCCACGCCCCTTTCAGGCCCCACCCCTCCAAGTGCACTTTCAGCGTGCAAAACAATACATGCACAATGCCCCAGGGGCCCCCGCTCTGTGCCGGCCCAGAGTGCTTCCTGCCCCCGCACCCCCGTCTCTCCGTCCATCTGTCTCTCCATTGTAACCCGGCCCAGCCTCCTCCACTTCTATCACCCCATCCAAAATGTCAACAAACCACTTTGGACCGCTACGCAAACAGACCCCCCCGCCCCCCAGAATGCACTGCGATCCGGCCGCCCGTAGCAGTCGCCAAGCTCAAGCCCATCTGCAGCACAAGCTGACACCTGGCTAGTAGCCATCCCGACTCCGACATGAACGTGTGACCTTTATGACCATCTTGACATGAGGGGGGGGGGGGGATCCCAGTGATCTGGGCTCTGAGACTGATGGGCAGATTGGTGTCTCTGTTACTCACATGCTAACGGGATTGATGGACTGTTCCTACAGCCTTCTCACAGTGTCCCACACACCCGTAGCATGAGAGTGGACACCAGGTGGACACTCAAGGCTCTGTCTCTAGCATGCCTTGCGTCCGTAACCCGCCGTGCAGCTACCTGAGATCCCGGTTCCTGCATTTAACCAGGAAAATGCCACCAATGGCCAAATTTCTATAAGTTACGCTGCAACAAAAAGGATCACTTAAGTCATTCCAATTTCACCTAACATTCAATGGACTCATCATTCTCCAAAAACTACGAGAAAGAAATAAATCAGACTCTTAAATTCCCCCAGACAGGAGTCACTAACTAACAGCAAAGTACCTGCACTTTGCAGGGTAGCCCTGCTAATTGTCTTCATGCAAATAAATAGAAACACTAATACGTGAACAACAAACAATTTAAGCAAATAGTCTGTGAGCAGGAGTGACTGGGTTTCGGGGTGGTGGGGGATAATTGGGTGTGGGGGGTCACAGGCCAATCAAAGAGATACAGCCCCCAGAGGGAGGGTCTTAAAGAGAGTTAAAAGGCCATTTCTCAGCAGCACAAACAGGAAATACCAACAGAGTGTTCACATCACAGTGTGGCAGAGAAGGTCTTAACGGCAGAGAGCTTTATGCCGGGAAACACAAACACGTAGCACACGAGCGTCCCACTGAAGCTGAACCGAGCGCGGGATCCCTCTCTCTCTCGAGCGTCCCTCTGAAGCTGAACTGAGCGCGGGATCCTTCTCTGTAATTCTGTTTCTCTGTTTTTCTATATCCCCTGTCTACCTGACCTGTCTAACCCCTGTAATGTTTGTATGTGTATGGTCGGGTAGATCGGGACAAATTTCATTTCACTGCATGTTGTATCTGTACATCTGTGCATGTGACAAATAAAGCAACCTTGAACCTTGAACACGGGATCCCTCTCTCTCTCTCTCTCTCGTGTCCCTCTGAAGCTGAACCGAGCGCGGGATCCCTCTCTCTCTCGAGCGTCCCTCTGAAGCTGAACCGAGCGCGGGATCCCTCTCTCTCTCGAGCGACCCTCTGAAGCTGAACCGAGCGCAGGATCCCTCTCTCTCTCAAGCGTCCCTCTGAAGCTGAACCGAGCGCGGGATCCCTCTCTCTCTCGAGCGTCCCTCTGAAGCTGAACCGAGCGCGGGATCCCTCTCTCTCTCGAGCGTCCCTCTGAAGCTGAACCGAGCGCGGGATCCCTCTCTCTCTCACATCACAGCAACGAAGGCAGCTCACCAGAAAGCGCATTCTCTCATGTTAGTGTTGACAGTGACAGAAAACAGCGCTCAGAGGACCGCACGCATGACCGTGCGCGCGCACACAAACACAAACACACACACACACACACACAGAGGTCATGAATTCATATCTTCATGGTGGCTCTCCATTCATTTTTACGGGCATAACCCAAATCCCAACAATGATGACCTTAACCCCCACCCAGACCTAACTTTAACCATAAGTAACGATTTTTATAAAATTGAATTTCCCCAGAAATGCCCACACGCGCGCACACACTCACGCGGGGAGCCGATGGTTACAGGCCTCAGCAGATCCCCATAACACCCTAACCCTGACCCCTTCATTTAGAGACGCTGCCTTTGATCTGGGGATAACAGCATGGCAGTGTAGGGGTTTCCGTCTATCAGGACGAGCAGCGCTGCAGTCAGCTAACAGCAGCATTCCTGTAGGGTAGTGTATCCTAATCAGGTCCTCAAGGACCCAGGACCGGTCCACGTTTTTGCTCTCTCCGAGCTCCCGATTGGGAAGCACTGCTGTAAGGGACTGCCAGATATTTACAGCACTTTCTCCTTGGATCCATGATTCAATTTCCATGCCCCATAACCACCAAAACACACAGACAACACATCTCCGCAACCTTTATTTAACATAAGCCCTGTAAGGTATCCTTAACTAGAGGAGTCTAGGGAGTGCTTCACGAACAAAAACTTATACACTACATCAACTTCAGCTCCAGTGGAAGAGTCTTCCTCACATGCAAGAGCTCTGTGTCACTTTTATACAAATAGGAAGAACCAAAACCACTTCTGCAGGGGAGGGCACCTGTTTGCTGTGAATTCACACCCAGAGAGGAAGACGCTGCTGTGGGCATGAGGTTATTTCTGCACTGGGAGCTTCCAGTGGAAGAAGCTTCACTTCCTTGGTGAAGGGATGGGGGTGAGTTTCCACTAAAAGCGGAAGGCGAAGACAGAAGGACCGAGATGGATTCCTGACCTGTTGTCCAAGCTGCTCCCTATTCTGTTCACGCCAACCTTTGTGTGAACCACCATGGCAGGTGTCCAGCAGCTAAGGGGCCACAAAGAAGCCTTCTGATTGGCTGCTGTATTCGGGCGTGGCCATGGGAGACGGTTCCAGCTGGCCATTGGTGTATTTATATTAACACCCTCCAATAAACACCGCTCTCAGTCTGCACGGTCTGTAGTCAACATTCGAAAAGAAACACAAGAAAATATTCTGCCAGAGTAAACTTCTGAGAATTAAACAGCACATGGACGCCACACTCCCAGTGCTTATATATGGATCTCATTTCAGAGGAATAACGGGACAGATAACACTGAAAACAATGAACGATTTTGACAGTTCTAACAGAAGACCAGAGGTGAGAGTTTGGGTCCAGAAAGTAAAAATCCAGACCAAGATTTTTTTTCAACCAACCAATTGAGTACTCTGTGGCTGTGACTCTTCATATTCAACTGGTCGGTTGAAACAAAATCTTGGTCTGGATTTGTATTTTCTGGACCTGAACTACCCACCTCTGCAGAAGACCCAACTGAAAGTCTTCCGTCAAGCTAAGAAAGCGGTGGCTTTGATATCATGGCTGTGAATGTGATTTGACTGAAACAGCACAGGCTGGGTAAACCAGTGGAATTACCACCCTGTGCACTGATGGGGCGGCACAAAAAGCTGCATGGGGGTGCGTCTGTAATCAGCGCAGGCGGAATGTCTGCCAGGTAATTTGCGTTTAGACCACAGCTGAAGGGCACCTCCCTTTCTGGCTGAGGAGTAACACCACCCAGCCAAGCCACACGACCGTCTGTGCGCAGGCAGGCAGGAATGGCGCGTGCGATATCTGTCGCCAATCGGTTTTCAGCCCATCCATAAAAATAAAGGCAAAATAAACCCAATGAGATCTTACGGCCTGGAATTCTGGCTTGTAAAAACTACCCCTTCTGCAGGGGGCACTACAGGCCGCACCTGCAGAAGGCTCAGCTCGGGCTTGTTGGTCAGAGACAGCTGAGAGCAGATTGGCCACGGTATTGTGTTCCAGGAAGACCTACGAGCACTGCCAGGAACAGCAGCAAATGCTGCCTTTTTGCTTCCCTTTTTATTTTTAAAAACATATTTAATGACACTCACACTGGCGAACTAACAGGTGGGAAGCCCCAGGGTCTTAAAGCCCTCTCTGTTCCACCTCATTCAACTTGTCACGCAAGCTCACGCTCGGAGCGGTTTCTCCCACAAAAGTCAGACCGAGCGGCAGCCATCCGAGGCTATGAGGCGACGTCAGGAGCCACAGGGGACCTGGAGGCCAGACAGTGAGGCAGACGGGAACACGGGGACCGTACAGGGACCCCTACTGCTTTCTTTGTGCTTAGAGTATCTGCGCGTTCGCCCCACAGGGGACAAACCCACTGGGAAATCATCTAGGGAGGGAAAAGGAAAAACATGAAGGGAAAAATGTGAAACCAGAAAGAAAAAAAACGGAAATAAATAACGGTTTGCAGAACATCATTTACAGCAAGAACTACAGATATTCATGCTGGGTTATGTTTTAACGGAGGTCTGATTTTACACAAGCAGGAATCAGTGTAGGTCTCCCCTCCCTCCCCCGCTTGCCCCAGGGTGACCACGTGGCGTCCCAGCAGGGAAAACCCCGTAAAGC